GGGCCTGCCACCCCCTTCCCCCCCCCCCCCCCCCAATTGTGAGAGCCTACACTGACTGAGGAGCAAGTAATGCAGAGATGGGAAGAGGAAGAGAAAAAAATGAGTTCCGATAATACCATTTGAACATCCAGATCCAGCCATACTGTTTACTTGCAGATGTTTGGTTAAATGAATCAATAAATTCCTTTCTGTTTTGTTGGTTTAAACCAGGTTGAGTTGGCTTTCTAACTCATGTTCCCCAGAGCTCCAAGCGTCCTTTCTCATTTCTGAGCCTTTGTTTAGGTTGCTGCCTCTCACCTTCCAAATGCTATTCACTTTTCAAGGTTCAACTTAATAAGGCTTCTATGAGGCATTCCCAAATTACTCAGGCCCACTGTCACTTCCCTTTATTCTGATACTCTAGTGGATATTATCTGTAACCACAAATTTTAGCAAGTTTTATATAGTTCTTCATGTTTATTCATCTGAACCTACAATCCAGACAAATAAAACCATTACTTAAACATGCTCCACTCCATCCCACAGTTACATCTTTATTAAACTATTTCCTCTCTTCCTTATCCACATCTCCTCAGCACCAACCTTTAAAATTCCATATCCCAGCTTCTCCAAAAAGTCCTTGATCTCTGGCCTCCCAGCTAGATGTAACTCCCCATTCTCAGAATCCTATAGTATTTCATCTGACCTCTTTTTTTGTCTCCTGCTCGTCTAAATTATTCCCTTTAAGGGTTTGCATGTTGTTTATTTATGTGTCACACTATCTTGCACTACTATATTTACTTGTATTACACAATATGTGAAACTCTGAATATTTTTTAAAGAGAATAAATACTTATGAAGCCTCAAGTATAGACGGAGAATTGTGTTAGACACTACTGGCAGTAAAACCACTACCACAAAACATGGTCCTTTCCCAGAAATGCAACTATCTTATGCTCCCAAATAGACCATAAATTCAGTAAGATTACATTTACATTATACATTTCTTGTACGGCCACAAGAGCACCTAACTCCAAGTTAGGCACATAATAAAAATGCACTGATTTGCACTAAGGTGGTAATTTTCTAGGCTGACAACATTCATCACATAACAATGTTAGATCTTTAGTGTTAGGATGATGGTAACTCATTCTAATAATGAACTGTGCAGTTTTAAACAAATTCTATTTTAAGTCATAATAACTCACAGCAATCTTTACTTTTTAAAATTAAACAGTGACTTTCATACACTAAAAATTAGCCTGTATATACAACTTAATTAACTGAAACCTTTTTAACAGGCAAGTATCATTTCCAAAATGTTTTTAATATTAACAAAGAAAACACGTGACAAACAAAAACTAACCTCAGGTCCTGAATGTACAGTCAGGAAACTTTCCACAGCAGTCAATGTACCTAAAAGAGAAGGAAAACGGTAAAAGTAAAATCAAATAAAAATCTATTAACCCAGGATAAGTAATAATAAGCTATTCCTATTCATTTATGGAACATTTTTATTAGGCCTACAGCTGATATAATCAGGAAAATCTGTGCTATAACAGTATTATTAGGTTATCGTAAACAGATTTAAGGAGCAGCTAAAGCCAGATAAATTATCAGAAAAATAGTAGTTTAGTATAAATTAACTGCTGGTACTCACAAAATCTTTTCTAGTATTCAAACTGACATTGCAAAAAATCTCTTCCAATAAGGCAACAATTTAGCTCACTGATTCTGGAAGGCCATCAGTTCTCAAAACTACATCTATGGGCTTCCCTGGTGGCGCAGTGGTTGAGAGTCTGCCTGCCGATGCAGGGGACACGGGTCCGTGCCCCGGTCCGGGAAGACCCCACATGCCGCGGAGCGGCTGGGCCCGTGAGCCATGGCCGCTGAGCCTGCGCGTCCGCAGCCTGTGCTCCGCAACGGGAGAGGCC